CCTGAAGTACCACATCAGCAACAGAATTGGCAACAACGCTGGGATCTTCCAGCGAGAAGCAAACCCGCCCCCAAGGGTAGGATGCAAAAAAAGACCGCATCCCGTCCCAATCAGCTGACCTATAGTGCCAAACACGGCGGCAAGCTGCAGATCGCAACTGCGATTGGAGCGTGAGTGGCACCGTGCTCCGGATCAGACAATGGTCGGAAGAGCCCAGAGGGGCATCGACGGAGACCTGATATCCGTCCGGATGAGAGGTCAGCAGAAGGTCCGACAGGGAAGGTACATGGTCTTCCACATCTGGGATCCGCGTAGGCAAAGTAACCAGTTGTGTTAGACCATATGCCAAAGCAAAGTCGTAGACAGATCTACCCGCATGATCGGTTAAACGAGAACCAAGCCATTCAGCGTGGTGGGCGTTGAAATCACCGAGTATCACGATCTCTGCGGATGGGACCTGTTGTAGCACGAAGTCTGCAGCCATTTGGACGTGGTCGATGAGTCGGTCTGTGTCGGCATTACCGCTATGGGACCTATAGAGGCACCCGTAGACGCGGGGATGGTCGACGCTGTCTACGCGCAGCCATAGGATGGACAGGTCCGTACCTACAAGGCTGCCGAGGCGTCGAAAACAGATGTCCTCTCTGACGTATACACAAACTCCAGCCCGGGGCACAAAGGAGTGTTCCAATTTGTATCCCGGGTAGGAGAGATATGAAGTATCAGCCGGAGAGGACACCTGAGTCTCGGTTAAAAAGAGCAAGGCCGGCTTCGCCGTCTCTAGATGGTAACGTTAAGGTTGGAATGAAGTCCCCTGATGTTGCAAAAATTCACGGATAGCGTGACAGGGGTCGCCTTGGTTGTAATGCTCCGCTTGCCCCGAGCAGCATTAGTCGCGAGCGGAATTTTGCCCCCCCCCAGAATACGCGGGGCAGCCTGAGCACCCACGCTCAGGAGTGAAGTAGTTTGGTCGTGGATGCTCAGCGAGGGATTCTCCAGGGGTGCTGGTACCCTCCTGGGGTAGTCTCTTATTTAATTCCACTACCATGTTGATGGGGGAGGGGGGGGGGGGGAATTGGGCCTCCGGCCACCTGCACTCACCAAGCGCAACGCAGAGGTAAACCTCTACTTCACGCTGGTATTCTGTGAGGTCGTGGTACCACCCCGGTTCGAGCTGGCCCATCCGTGCGACAGCAAAAGCTACCGCTTGGCTCTACCACTGTTGCTATAAGTGTATATTTAAACCACATTTAAACATTTTATATTATTATTTATTACAGAGCTTTACAGTTCTAAGGCGAATATTTTGTAAAAATTGACCAATGGACAAATAAACATCTTTTCTTAACCATTTTTTTTATTATAATCTTTTTATAAATCTAATAACTTTATCTTTTAATAACTAAGCGATAAATATATTTTTTCGTACTTAGTCTTTCTTCTGGAAGGATTGGTTGTTTATGCCAATTACACCAATTTGCATCAAATGTTTTTCCACTAAGTCTAAATTGTAACAAAATGTTTCTTGAGTCATTCTTGTATACCTATAGTTTTTGATCATCAAATTTCAATTGTTTTACAAAAAAATTGTGGTATTCTCCGAAATGTTTCCTTTCTCTATTAATCGAGGTATAGCTTATTTTCGCATTTTAAAATACACATTTTCTAACAAAACTAATTCATCGTCCGATGAGTACGATATTTTGCTCGCTCTGCTTCAATCGGCTTGCTTTATGTAACTGTTACCAGAATAGACCAGCGCCGATATGCGCTGGTGGATCGGCGCCGGCTGCCTGCTAGAAGTAGAGAAGTTACGGCACAGCTATTAAGAACGTTAATAAAATGAAAAAAAAAGGTTCATCCTGGTATATAGTGTATTATCTATGGGTTCATCTGGTAATGCTGTAGTGCTCTCAAATATAACTTCAATGTTTCAACTCATTTTAACACAATTTAACAAAATTTGTGGTTTACAGTGGATAACTATTTTTATAATTTCACTTCCGATAGGACTAGTCTTCTGTGAATGTCACGCGCTTCATTAGTTCAGTCAAATTAGCGATAAACCTCGGAATGTGTAGAAGTAGAGAAGTTGTGATGCAGCTATTAAGATAGTACAAGTAACATATATACACATTAATAAAATGAAGAAAAAAAGGGTTCATCTAGTAATGCTGTAATGCCCTCAAATATAACTCATTTTAACACAATTTTTAATGACAGTGAGAATATGAATTCATTGTCGAGAACAGGAGGTAAATAAAGAAATATTATAAGAAAATTGTTTATTTTTAAAACTGTACATAAAGTAAATCACAAAAATAATATTATTCTATCTAAAACATCTAAAAATATTTTTACTTTTATTCAATTGCGTTCTAATTATAAGACAATTATTTCACATTTAATAAACTTGAATAAATCAATACAAGATTATATTTTAAATGCATTCATAAATCCATAATTGGCAGTATTTTATGGATTTTCATATTACACAGGTAAAAATGTACGTTAAAAGTGGTCTTAAACTAGAAACAGGCGTAAAAATGCAAAATTGAGCATTACAATATACAGATAACATTCTAATTTTTTATACACATTCTGCTGTACAGATATGTAAAAATCATTAGAAATAACTTCCCAAACAGTTTAACTTTCAACACCTATTTATAAAATAAATCTATAATGTATAGCACCATATTTTATAAAAAAGATATAAAATCTTATCTACATTATTTAATACGAGATCTTTTCCAGACTTGCATACTTTTCATAATTTACAATTAAGCAATTGATACTTACTATAGGACCGAGTAAAACTTGTTCATAGTAATGGTTGATTCATTGAATACAATTATACAAGAAAAGAAATATTGTGACTATGTAAGTTACTGGTTTAAACTATTGGCAATAAATTGTTATATACAACTTTAAGTTATGCTATAAAATAAGACTTAATAGTGTGAAATTCAAGCAATGGCAAATTAACAAATAACTGTTCTTTTTAACAGTTTTTAGTAAATTTTTTAAATAAAAAAATGCTCATTGACCCATTTTCTGCTAGCCATTGTTTTTACAATAAATTACCAAGAAATATTTAACTTAATACAGTCAACATAAATTAAAAATCGTATACATGAGACATATAATTGATTATTAGCGATATTTAACATAAGTCTTCAAGTAATATATAAGATCGGATGTTTCTAAAACAGCTGAGGAAGTCGCAGAATACCACAGAACTGTGCATAGAATTTTAACACCTAAAATATAAGTGTGGTGGGATGGGCTTTCGGTTACTTATAAATTAGTACTTTTTATCTATGGTAAGTACTATTTATTTTATTTACATTTCTAAACTTATTATTAAATATGTGCACTATTTATCGTCTTGTTTTTCAATGTAGATTAGAATATGCATTAGGAGCACATCAATTTTCAACTAAAATCACCCTAACTGAAAACAGTTAAACTCACTTAAAGCCGTACAAAGTTATTAAAAAAATAAGTGACCTTCTTTAAATTTTACTATTTACTTATGTGTCAAATTTTAGTGAATACCTAATTGACGGAGATATTGCCTAATAAACACATTCGATGTATTTTGTCTATTTTAAAATTAATAATAATACATATTAAAATCCTACCTAGCGAAAATTATTATTATTTTGATATGAACCATTTATTGAGCTTCATAATTTAAACGTAAAAATGTTCAAATACATCATAAATTACGTATACGGCATTCAGATCATAATTAAAGAAGCTTAACTGTAAAATCTATTCAAAATTTTTATTTATCTATTATATAAATTATGAGCATAGTTTTAAAAATAAGAAACATTAATAATCATAAATACTTCATAATTTGATCTAGTTTGATAGTTTATGATTTGCTTCATTTGTAACAATGTTTATCAGCATAGTCAGTCCATAAACAGTATATGTTCAACATGTGGTAAAAAACGTGGTAGGACCACGCTCTCACAGAATACCAGCGTAAAATAGCAGCTTAATGCTGCTGTGCTTCGTATGGTGAGTGTAGAGAACCGGAGACCCTTTTTACACAACATCCACTAACTAACAGGTGGACTGTGTGCTCGTTTATCACCCATTTTACTATAAAAATTTGGTCACATTGTTAATTCGATATTTATTATACAATTAAGCATGAAAGACGAACACTCGGCCCACCTGATGCTATGTGGATGTTGTAGCCCATAGACATATTCTTGATTAAGAATTGAAGTAAACCAATGGTAGTCTATACCTTTTTTTTTATATAAAAAGTGTTTTTGTTCGTTAACATAATCTCAAATAATACTGGATTGATTGTTAATTTTTTAACATTACGTAGTTTGTATTTATTTATAAAATGGATCTTATCTTAAAGCATTGGAAACAAATCTCAAGTGAAAATCATGCACCAATGCAATTACTACACAATAGAAACATTTATCATGGAAAAATATTTAGTAAAATTATTGGCAGTTGTGTGTTCCTTTACAACCACTTTTAGCAGCACTAATTTGAGATTTAGTGCCAGTAACACAAAGTGGTTACCATCATCATGAAATTTTCAATAGTTACTTTAAAATTCAAAATTATTACTTGATAAAATATTAAAGGAAAAATAATGCTATATGAAAAAAAAAAGATGTTTTGGAACAAACATTATCTTAATCATTTGAATTGTACTAGAATTGCATTAAATTTTTGAAAGAAGTTTTTACGTATAATATATATCTTACTTTATAACTAAATATAACTATTATATTATATATAGTACTGAATATTAATTGCGATAAAATATGGCAGTGAAAGAAGGTATACAAATTTACAAAATCAAATTATCCAATGCCTCAGATTTCATGATGAAAATTAATTCAAGCATAATATCCTTTAGAAATTTTTTTCTACTTTGGTTAAATAATTTCCAAGAGCATTCCCAAATAAATCCCATAAAATTATATAACTAGTTTTGTCATTTTGAAATAATGCTATGAAGAGTTGCTGCACATTAAATTCATAATGTGTATATGACCTGGATGGTCGACTGTGACGAAACACGAAAATTTGTCGTCGTGACAAAGTTTTCTAGCGTTAACACCGGATAACTTGATGCATGCTAGAATCTCCTTTCTTTTTGAACCTTCTTTGCACCTGAAAATAAACGAAAATTGTTTAGTTTATAGGTATAAGACGTTAAGGAGAAAACATTCGTCCTACGGGTATAGTAAGATATGGCAATAAGGCCAAATGAAACAGGAGATGGGTAGCAGCATCGTCCAGATAACGACTGAAAACACAACCAAGGCCATTATGGCAAAATTCCCCTTTAGCAATCTTTGGGGGAGGCTTATGATCGACAGTAGATTTTATAATGAATGAAGGAATGAATGAAGATAAATTAAAAAATAAGTTAAAATTAATTGTGATGAAATCCGTGAAATTGGTTTTATTCAAAATAAAATTAAGCTTTATATATTATAAACTAACACTACTTACGTTTTTCCCTTCCAATAACATTTCCAGCATTCCTGTGCATTCATTAGTCCAGTTCCAAAGAAGAAGTTATTTGTGGAAGGATCCACATTTAAATTTTCCAAGGCTGCCGGGAGATTCACTGTGTCTATTGGACTAGCAATAGGCGTGACAGCGTTCCAACGGTTTCTAGAATATTCATACAGCATAATAAATATAACAGTATGATTATGTATTTACAGCCGGCCTACACTTTATACCAATTAGGAATAAAGTGTAGGCCGGCATCCAATATTTATGGTAAAATACCTAGCACTGTTGTATTCCGACATATAGACTCTATATATATATAATTATATATAGTTCTATATATATACAGCCCTTCAGACTGGAGAGCCAGTATAATTTCAGGTGATGCATTCTTATCTTAGTCCTCAGAGGTGACAATGCATCTGTAGATTCTTTGTTTGTAGGGCTCTAGGTGTCCATGGACAGTAGATAGCTCAGGACCGTGCTTTGCGGTATTTCTTGGGTGAGGCCTATGTTCAGCAGTTGATTTGTAATGGACTGTAATAATGATGATGCTGATTCAACGGCTAAGAGGCGACTATCAGAAATGCAATTATTCTCACAGAATACCAGCGTAAAATTGCGACTTAATGCTGGTGTGTTTCGTATGGTAAGTGTAAAGAACTGGAGACCCTTTTTACTGGAAAAGAGGCATCCCATCTTAGTCCTCACGGCTGACAACGCATCTGCATTTTGATTCGCATACGAGGATAGATGTAGATGTCTATGGGCCACACCACTTACCATCAGGTGGACTGTGTGCTCGCTTGTCACCCTTATTCTATAAAAAATGCAAGAAAGATCTCATGTCCTCCGACAGATGGCAGTATAATCTTGTGTTTATGCCAGGTGTGAAACACCCAGATCGACAATAGTTAGTAGAGTAAAATGTGCAATTATATGTGTGCACATTACGATCTATTTTAATCAGTAGTTGCGAATATTTAGATAACTATATATTATTAGAACAACCAGAGACTTAAGGTCAGGAAATCAAGTTTAAATATCGTGATCCACAGAGATCAGTTCAATATTTATAATATTTTTGATTTTAATAATAAATAATAAAAAATAATTGAAGATTTGAAAAAAAATGGTCTTCTCAATCTTTATTTCGTTTATAATCCAGAGTTAATATTTCTCTTACTTACTAAAATATAAATATATACTGCTACATACTAAATTAAAATGTAAGTACCTCCAAAAACCCTTATTGATTCTCGTCTTAATCAAATATGTGATATTCCACCAGACAATCTCCGAAGCCATTGTCACTAACACCAAGGGCGGTTGTTCATCTTCCTCTACGAATGTTGGGAGCTGGTTTGATTGGGGGGATGGGGAGTATGTGCTACTCCTGGACAAACGTTCAGGAACTGGAGAGAAGCAACACCACTGCACCTTTGTTTTATGGTGCTTTATGAACCTTAACTGGCGTTGGTTGGTTACGTGCCATACCTGGAAATGATACAATTACAAACAATTCCCCAGTGAGGCCTATGTAGTGCTATCCCAGGCGATATTATATTATTCTTAAAATATTCCATTTTTATCAATAAAAAGAAATTATGTAAAAATTACAAAATAAAAAAATAAAGGTACATATAAATTAGGAAATGTCAACATACTATTAAATCAAGCTGTGCATAACAAACTGCACATTAAGAAAGCAAATAGATTCAATCAGAGCGCGTGATACACATGCTTGTTGCTTGCACTTGCTAATTACTGGAAAAATAAGCTACTCGCGATTATGCCCATAGCTTGTGCCATGTGTCACAAAACATATCAGAAGGATTAGCCAAGTCGACTTTCTACTATCATTAAAGCTAATAGAAAACTATAAAAATGAATGAGAATGACATATCTCAATGTTGTGTCATGTGAGATCGTAAGCAGTTTATTTTTTCCCAGCATACCAACTTCTTAGGTGATTTTTGTAACCTTCTGAGACTTTTTTTCATTTCCACTAATAAATGTTCGCTTACTCCATGCAGTTTCTGCAGTGCAGTGCTGGCAGTAGCCTGAGTATCAATACAATTTCTCATACATAATGTTATTTTTCTTTAGCAGAGAGGCTATTACTTCTTGCAATCAATTTTTTTATTTACATTAGCCATAGTTGTACAGTAATACTAATTAATTTTTCATAAATATTCTTCTCTGACACTCAACTCGCATGTTCCACGAATATGCTGCGAAGAATATGAAGAGAAAGAAAAATCTAGCATACCAGCATGTCAACGCATAGCACTCACAGGCATGTGTATCACAGGCTTAAAAATCGATAAAAACTATTCAAATATAGTACCTATGACAACTGCAATGAAAAAAATGTGATAAAGTTTGCACCTACTATGACATCGCCGGAATCTAGCCCCATAGCCAGCAAGCTACCGTCGGCTGTGAGGTCACATGACACTATACGGTTGTTCAACCTGTATTCTTGTATACTTTGCAACTCCACCCTTTCGCCAATTTTAAGTTCGAAAGTCTAAAATAAAATGAACATGGAAAAGACGAAGATTACAAGTAACATTCATGTCCAGTAGCTAAAAAAAATCTTCCAAAGCAGCAAAGAGTTGTTGGGAGCACTAAGCTCGAAGTTGTTAACGAGTAAGTCTAAAGAGGACAAATTGTCTGACTAGCTAAGTCAAACTTCAATCGAATCTATATGTTCAGCATTAGACTTTTGATAGGCTAATATGAATGATAATGAATGTCACACAGTAAAGGAATCTCTTACGTTTTATGCACACATTTTAACCTGTATGTGTAGTAAGTGGCAAAAAAGGAATAAAGTTATGGCTTGTGATGGTGTAACTGGTGACAGGGAGCAGTATCAAAGACGTGAGACATCAGCTGATCTGTCTATCAAACGTAAAGATTACAGCAAATCCTCCCTTCAATGAATGAAGTACATATCTAGCAAAGGTATTTTAACGGGCTGATGATAATGAAAAACATTTGTAATTTTTTATTTGCAGAGAATTATACATTGCTCATAGTTTTCTACCTCATTATAATTTCATTAAACAACAGCTGAAATGTAGGGAATAGATGTTAAATTATCACCATAAAGTCAATCAAATCAATAAATTGACGGCTCCGTGGCGCAGTGGCTTAGCAATCAGTTGTTGCGCCGGGGGCCGCGGGTTCGAATCCCGCAAGGAACAAGTATTTGTATTGCCTACAAATAATTGTTCCGGGTCTGGATGTTTGTCCTTGTGTTTATGTTTGTAAACTGCCTCCACAACACAGGAGAAAATCATAGTGTGGGTGTAACGTTTTATAAAAAAAAGATAAGAAAAAAAATCAATACTATAAAACATCATTATTCTTACAATAACATATTGAATTCATATTAGCATTTATTTATTTACATAAATACATTTTTCATCAATGATCGACTATTTTCTACCGACTTCAAAAAGGAGATGGTACTCAATTCGACTGTATGTTTTTTTATGTGTTACCTCATAGCTTTTTTCTGGGTGAACCGATTTCGATGATTCTTTTTTTATTCAAAAGCTGGTGCTTCTCATGTGGTCCCATATAAATTTGATCACGGTCTAATAGTTTTGGAGTTATTGTTAATAATTTATATTGAAGTCGGTTGTACAAAATTATTAATTTTAAATTATTAAGCAAACTGTCGCTGGCTAAATACTGGTAGTTATGCATTATTATTATTATATACATAGACTCACCTGAAACCCCTTATTATAATCGTCGCAGATCACAAGTATATTCTTTTGGAAAGCCGCACAGTTCACGTACACATCCGTTTGCCTTCCATTTAGTATGCATGCAACTTGCAAGTTACGGTCCCACAGTTTGATTGTGGCGTTATTTTCTACAGTTATTAATCCCACATCTGGGACCCAGAAACAATCGACCAAGCTGCTTGCTTTACATAGGCGTCCCTTCGTATCGCCATTAGGGAACAAGCGATCTCTGGAGTTGATGCTTGCGTCGCTGCTCGATGTGGACATTTTTTCTGGACTGATCTTCTTTTTAAAGCCTGGATAAATTATTAAGTTTATGTTAAATAATAATAAATTACGGCCAGTGTCACCATGTAGTGGCGGTGTAAGAATATCCACTACCCTTCATCGTCCCTTGGTTTTCGTAAGAGGCGCCAGAAACATTCGTAGCAGCGTCTTTCTAATAACAATTAGAAAATAAAAAACTGCGAAAAATATCCCTCTTATGATACAATCTATGGGGGAGAGCCACGTTTAACAGTGGACTTTGGTAAACTGTATTTACTGATTGATCGATTAATGGACGGTTATTATAGTGAGTTCAAGTTAGAAGAAAAAAACTTACCTTGTATATCATTCAGGATCTCCTGCGAGCCAAGATGCGTATTCCCTCGCTGCAACATCTCAGACTTCCAATCGCCCTCGCTCGTAAAACGGTATGCCATTAAGCACCTATTTTTCCCCGCCACTATCAACAAGTTGGGATTCACGAAGTTCATATATTGCACGGGGCTGTACACGTCGATGATGTCTTTAGTTTCTTTGGATCTCAGCGCGTACTTCGTCACGATCCCATTACTAAGCCCGTATATAATGTATTGGTTGCATGGTGAAATGTTCACAGCCGTAATTTGATCGTCCGTTTTAGGTGATACTTCTGTTAGCAGCTTCCTTCCGCGCATTATCTGAGAATTGAGAGGTCAAAGTACATGGAAGCCGATTATACAAGAGATAAGCCACGCAGGTGTATTATGGCTATAGTTCGACCGTCGAAGGACCACGATCTCGCATAATATAAGTGTAAACTAGCCACATATTGCTGCTGTTTCGTTTGGGGGAGTGACGAGTGGTCAACAGGGCTGACAACAGAATATGTATTTTGATTCTTAAACCAATAAATATTTAAACTATAAAAATATTTCGTTTAATAACAGTAGTATGTATCTCACGCCAACTCATCCTAGGGACATCTATAAAACACTTAAATCTTTAAATAATACAAATTCAACAGGTTATGACGAATTAAATGTAAAAGTTTTAAAGCAATGCGCTGAATACATCTCAGAACCATTATGTTATATTATAAATCTGTCTCTAAAACAGGGTGTATTTCCAACGCGTATGAAATTCTCCATTGTTAAACCTATGTATAAAAAGGGAGATAGGCAAGACGTTGGAAACTACCGACCAATAACTCTTATTCCTGTGCTCTCAAAAGTTTTCGAAAAAATAATGCATGAAAAACTATATTGTTTTCTTAGCGCCTTTAACATTCTAAAACCAGAAAAGTTCGGTTTTCGAAGAAACTGTTCCACAACATTAGCATGTTATGAACTGATTAAAATTATAACTGAAAGCTTAAATTCACGAACTCCACTTTTAACTATATTTCTTGATATGAGCAAAGCTTTTGACTTCGTATCACACAGTCTTCTGCTAGATAAATTAGAAAGGTATGGAATAAGAGGAACAGCCCAAAACTGGATAGAGAGTTATCTTAAAAAGCGTAAGCAGTGTGTTGAAGTTACAAAAATCATAAAGAACACAAAGATATCAAAACGCTCCCAATATCTTACAAACAGTTTTGGTGTTCCACAAGGCAGTGTACTGGGACCTTTGCTGTTCTTAATATACATTAACGATCTTCCTGACTTTACTACAAGCAAATGCATTTTATTCGCTGATGACACTACTCTTATAGTTAAAGGTAATAACAGATCTGCACTTGAAATCGCAGCTAATGGTGCTCTAAATGAGGTCATACAATGGATGAATATAAATAATTTAGATATAAATATAAATAAGACGAAATTTATTGAATATAAAACCCTCAAAAACATTTCAAATGACATTAAACTCACATATAACAACTCGATAATTAAAGAAGTCGTTTCCACGACATTTCTAGGAATAATATTTGATGAATTTTGTAGTTGGAAGCCGCATATAGAAAGCTTATGTACTAAAATAGATCGTTTCGTTTTTGCATTGCATAGACTAAGAAATATTGTATCAGAAAGAGCTGCACTGATGGCATATCATGGATATATCTCATCCATACTACGATATGGTGTTCTACTCTGGGGGTATTCGGTGGATTCGGATAAAGCATTTAAAGCACAAAAACGCTGCATAAGAGCTCTTTGTGGTGTTGGTCCTTTAGTGAGTTGCAAACCTTTGTTCAAAGCTAAAAGGATCCTGCCTTTGCCTTCATTATACATATTTGAAATGTGCATGTTTGTTCATAAGCATCCACATTTATTTCAACGTAAGTGTGAAGTGAGTGAAAGTAAGGGTAGATACAAGAATAGGTTATATGCACCAGCAAATCGTCTAAGAGTTACAAAAAGAAATGCTTCTGCAATGTCGATAAGAATTTATAATAAATTACCTGATAATTTAAAGCGTAAAAGTTTATTGTCATTTAAGAAATCTGTTTTGGCATTGTTGCTCACTAAATGTTATTATTCTGTAGAAGAGTTCTTAAACGACAACGACCTACATACGAGTAATAATGAATGATAATTTTAGAATATGATTAATTACGTAATTACAAGATTCTAATGTTTAAAAAAATAATGTTTTTGATATTATTTTATATAAAATTAGACTTATGTATTTAATTCATTAATAAATTTGATGTAAAAATAGAAAGAAATTAATGACAATTGGATATGTAACATTATTTAATTATTGACATAAGAATAATAATTAATATATGACATTGACCTATAATAATAATCTTACTTGACATAATAATACTTACTTATATATTTGATGGCATTTTCTGACACTGTAGCATAATAAATTAATTATCAAATCAACTAAATAATATTAAATATTTTATATTTTGTTAAATTAATATATGTTGTTAAATTCGATAAGTGTTGTTGTTTAGGTTACTTGACCATTAATATTTGCACACCACTAAGGTAGAATATGTAGAACGAATTATACTCAAACACCATTGTACAACCATATTCTTGCAAATAAAGATTATTATTATTATTATTATTATTATAAAAGAGGGTAGTTGTACAGTCTATAGGCCACAGCATACACTTACCATGAGTTGGACTTTGTGCTTGGTCTATCACCCTTAATTATATTATAAAAAATAACACAGTAAACATTTTTATAATCTTCAAACGAAGTTAATTCCATGTTATTTTACTGTATAATAAATAGATGACCGATGGGGATAAAGGTTCTCGAGTCGCAGCCTCGTACCGTTAGGCGAAGTGTAGGGCGGCCCCCACTAGATGGAGTGACCACCTGGTCAGATATGCGGGAAGTCGATGGAAGCAGGTGGCTCAGGACCGTACTTTGTGGCATTCCTTGGGGTAGGCCTATGTTCAGCTGTGGACTTGTGATGGATGATGATGATGAAATAGAGTACGTGTGCGTCGGCTGCAATGAAATTATTAATTGCAAATTTACCGCGTGCTCGGCGGTGAAAATTACAAATACTTCAAGGAGATTAGAGGTCTATCCCCAGCTGTGATACGTATATAGGTAGATAGATGTTACTTTACTTTTACGATTCGTAATTAAAGAAAAACATGCACAAGTATTTTGTATAGATTGATATTACTTACTTCACTTACTTTTTTATTTTATTAAGTAGCAAAGAAGAGCAAGTTCAATCTAATGGTAACAAGACCCATTGACATATGACCTTTATCTAGACTCATTTTACTTCTCTTTATTAGCACTAACAGTGCACAGCTGGACACGGACCACTCCCATTGTAGCAAGGATTTGGTGATCAGAGGCAGCTGTTGATGATTTAATAACACTGCTAACTATCGCATTTTGGGTGTTTTACATCCGGCATATAGTAAAATGGTATAGAAATTTATAGCAGTCAAAGATTTCATTCGAATATTTCCTTATTAATTTTATATTTTGTATGCCTACTGGTGGGACAAAGAGAACCTACCTTATATTTTATTATGTACATATCGAGATCTATAAATTAACCAATGTTCACAAAATAAAGAGATTTGATTTGATTTCTTTAATCGCTTCTTACGACGCCCACAGTACGAAATAGGGTGATATCATTATTTCTGCTAGAGATATATGAAACGAAAAAAGTTCACTAAAATATGGCTGTAAAACACTTGCAGGATAACTTTTGGACCTCATACGTAGAGACATGTTGAAATTTGGATTTTCAAAATTTGTACTCTTTACAACAACATCCAAGTAGGAAGTTAAAATATTTTTTTTTAACTATTAGTTACCTGTATATTGTTTTTATCATCGACAACAGCCAGCAAGGGCTGTATCACTCCGTCGTTGTTTCCATTACAAATACCTTTCAAATTTAATGGCTTCAAGTTATGTCTATCCAAGCTCATAGTTTTCTTGGCGAGCTTCTTTTCGATCTCTTTATGCGTGACAAAAGATTTGTGGCGTTTGGGCGTGTTGTCGTAGCTTTGTGACCCATTGTTGGGAGTAGTGCTTGGAGTTTGGGGCGATAAAGCACCAACGAAACTCACGTCGAATGTTGTCGTTAGTCGAACTTTGCTGTTGAAATGTTTAAGTAGAATGTTTATCATATAAATATATAAGGTTTAATTTTATGTAAAGCCACAAATCAAAATGAAAATTTACATCTTGAGATAAATGGAGCAAATTTTTCTTGGAATTTCTGTCAATCTGTATCGTCACTTTGGGTGACGAAAAACCTGTGTGTAAATTCTAAATAGAGTCGCGAGTGACTTTATATGCGTGGACGGAATTTGTTTAATATAATTCAACATTCAATACTGATAGTATTAATGTCATTATTTTTTCTAGTTTTACAAAACTAGATTATGTAAAAAAAAACCATTATATCTATCATCAGGTCTGGATGCAATATTTATGGGTTCATAGTGAAAATATTTTCTATCGATTAAAAAATTATAAGCTACATTGATATAACTAGCTTCAGTGATAGTGTGTTGCATACACGGAACAAATACAAAGAGGAGACGGCCTAAACAACTGTGCACTGTGATTCTAACTAGGTCCTGACGTCATCACAGTGGGCATGGCTTTATTTAGTACTGTCAGCGTTCGTCCTGTGGGCTTATGTGTCGAAAATCGCAAATCGGTGTGTTTTCGTAGTATTAAGAAGAAAAGGATGAAGGGTTGTGTTTTATCGTGTAAAAACTACTCAGATGCTATGCTACGCTCTGATGGTATGGATGGCATCACATTTCATTTGTAAGTAATTTTATACTTTATTTATTAAAATAGTTATAAAAAAGCTTTGCGTCAGCTTTCAAATGTAATTAAATATATTCGACACTGTGACATGGTATTTTAGAATAAGGGTGACAAACGAGCACATAATCCACCTGATGGTAAGTGGTTGCTGTGGCCCATAGACATCTACATCTATCTTCGTTTGCGAATTAAAATGCAGACGCGTTGTCAGCCGTGAGGACTAAGATAGAATGCCTCTTTTCCAGTAAAAAGGGTCTCCGGTTCTCTACATTCACCATACGAAACACAGCAGCATTAAGCTGCTATTTTACGCTGGTATTCTGTGAGAGAACGATGCGAGTAGTTTTACTATTTATCGGTAGATGGAAAATAGTTAAGTGGGCGGGGTTTAACATCCCCTCACCTCGCAATTTGTCACGCGTTGTTTCATAGTGAAATCTAGTTACAACACCTCCTCTTTGTATTTGCTCCTAGGTTACGTACATTTAAAAGAAAATAAAGTTAAATTGTTATCTTCTTATTCGAAATGGTCTATAAATTATTGCTTGCAATTATAATACTCACCTGTTTTTATGAGTGTTTTGCGAGACGTAAGAAGCGTCCAAGAACCATACTTTGGCTGAGTTCTCTATTGTTCCAGTCCCAGTAAGCAGGACATCAGAGCCAGGCATGAAATCATCCCACATCATGACCTCACTGACAGCCATCGACATCACATTCCTAAAAGTGTCATTTGATATAATATACGAGGGCGGCACTGAAAATTTCGGGAATCAAGGAAGTGACACAACATTACTATTTAAAAATGTATTTATTGCTTTTCGAAGTATTCTCCGCGAAATTTGACACATTCTTCCATACAATGGAACCAATCATTGAAGCAACCATTCCATTCGGAAGTTGGGGTCTCCAAAATGGCCGTTTTGTAGGCATCCACAGCTTCTTCAGGTGATGAAAATCTCTGTCCACGCAATTTATTCTTTATTTTAGGGAAAGTATAGAAATCATTAGGGCTTAGGTCGGGGCTGTACGGCGGATGGTCTAATAATTCTATGTTTTCTTTTTTATTGTCGTGATGGAGGATGATGCGGCGGTTGCAGTTCTCTTTACGGAGTTCCGAAACGACCTGTGGTAAACAAATGCTAGCATACCATTCTGCATTAACCGTTCTTTGTCCCTCAAGAGGAATAGTTGTAACATGGCTGATTTTGGAGACAAACGTGGCCACCATTTTTTTTGCAACACTCCGTGAACGAACAATTTTTGTTGGCTTTAACTCATTTTCGAACACCCAAACTCGTGACTGGTTTTTTGTTTCGGGTTCGTACGCGTATATCCAGGATTCGTCACCTGATACGATGTTGTATACAGCATTTGAGGATCCTGCGTGGAATCTTTCGAAAGTTCTGACGCACCAAGTAACGCGAGCCGCTTTTTGCTTTTCACAGAGCGAATGCGGTATCCATCGGGAAAATAACTTTTTTACACCTAATTGTTCATGCAAGATTATTTGTATTTGACTCGTGCCAATGTCTAAAGTTGCCTGAATTTCGCGGTATGTCACATGTCGATCTTCCTCAATCAGCTTACGCACAGCATCAACGTTTTCTTGGGTGACTGCAGTTTTTGGACGACCTTGACGGGGATCATCACTGAGCTTGACACGTCCACGTTGAAATTCAACAAACCAGCGACAAATTGTGGTTTTGAATGGGGCTTCATCACCAAATGCAGAAATCATCCAGCCTATGTACTCGTATTTAGAAAGATATTACGTGGCTGTATGGAGGGCGGGGGGGGGGGGGGGGGGGGGTTAAGCCATAGGCATCTCATAGTTGTCATATATTATGTTAACCAGAAAAAAGAAATATACTATATCAAGAAAACTGTGACATCGTCCCGTAGGAGTCGTAAAAGGTGACAGAGAGGCCTAAGTACGTATGGCGAGTGTAAAGTGTCGAGGGTATATGAAGATGCCTATGAACCACAGCATCCACTTACCATCAGGTGGACTATGTTTCCGTATGTCATCATTATTCAATAAAAATAATAAAGAGAAGGATACTAACCCTCTCCTCGAACAACTTATTACATAAAAAAAGAAGGATACAAACCCTCTCCTGTTATCAAGATCGAACACCCTCGAGTTTGTCTTGAGATCAACACAAATAACTCTACTATCGTCAGTGGAAACGAACAGGAGTGAGCCAGACTTGTTTACTGCCATCGATATAAAACACACATTCTCCTTGATGTCGTTACTGGACATCACCTTTCTGCATATATACACATTGCACACATTCTGATACGAGCCTGTCGTCAATTTGTACTCATGCTCTTTAATTTCACCTTCAGATAGCGTTATTATTCTGTTGCAACCTAAAATAAGTAATTTTGAAATTATAGTAAGCAACTGTATTTAGCAATCTTATTTTTCTCAAGTCTGTAGGTAATAGAGTATACATATACTTGTACGAAAATTAGATGTATGTAATAGTCTCATTCGTCCGATAATGAATTTATATAGCATTATATGAATATCCATCCATACATGAATTACTACTATAGTCCACTACTGAACATAGACTTCCCCCATAGGCTGCCTTATAAGGGCATATTTTCTTAGTTGCCACGCATGAAAGGCGGGTTGGAAACCGCAGGTTTTTAATTTTTAGTTGCTATTAAGAAGACGCTGCCGTCTAACGAGACCCCGGGAGGATATAGGGCAATAGATATTCTTACACCGCCAGTACACGGTGTACATATGAATAACTAATACTAAAATATATGTTAATTTTATTAAAAACACATTAATTAATATCGGCAAAAGTTGGAGGAGGTGCAGATTTAATATAATGTTACGAGCTTGGGGTTCGAAACAATTAAAAACTGGCGATTGAATTACCAAAATTGACACTTTAATTATGGAACACTAATTACAACTTAAAACCACACTAATAATAAAACACAATTGTACTACTGATCACTTTAGTTCGCAGTTGTATAGCTTCGAAGTGTTCGCTTGTATCGCCAATTCAATACTGACTCGGTCGTGGTCTATACCGGCCTTATATAGGACCTCAGCTAGTTTCCAGAACCTTCTACTGTAGAAACATCTAAAATGTTCGAGTACAAATCGGTCCCGAAATTTCTAGAAGGATCTTGACTCTCCTAGTTCTGTTACTCGATACTAGATGGCGCTAGTGGTAACTAGTGTTGCCATGTACAAGACATTAATAGTGGCGCGCAACAATAATATAATTGCTTTACTCCCATTTTGACAATTTCAGGTATTCCAAGTTCTTTGTCTTTAACTTTTACTACTCTTAAAAACCGAGACAATTTATTGAGTAACTACTATATTTAGGGTACCATATAATAGAGAATTCTTAATATTAGTCATAAAAAAACTAAAATGTAATATTTAGAATATCGAATGAATAGGAAATATTTATGTCTGATAATTTTGATATATTAAAATGTCATGTTATAAGATAAATATATCCAGGTATCCAAATTTTATATAAGTTCAGATACTTATATAAATAATGATACACTGTTATTGCCGTTTTTGAAAATACAAGTAAATAAGGCTTCTACTGCTATTTAAAATTGTATATATGTAATTTTATGGGCAACAACTACGCTTACGCGAGCTCCTGTGTGTGCGATTCAATTCACAACGTTTTTGCCGACCGAGCGGCCCTTATGAATGTGGGCGGGCGTAGTAAAATAGTATGCGTTAGATATTTATGAATAACAATCAATTAAAATAATACAATACGAATTCTATAATTTCTGTAATTTAAATTCAATAAAAATTAAAAGATAAAGTGGCCAAAATGCTTGATATTTTTTTAAATTAATTTTTCTTCACCATTCGCCTATTTTACTTCTTTTGAACATTCTTTGCAAATTTGGGCGTATATTGCAAAATAATCTTGTATATATTACAATGAACTGAAAGTCAGAAGTCCAGTTGAAAAACGGAGTGGGAAGATTCTCTTTTGTTAATTAATTTTAAGGACAAGAACAAGAAACCACCACCAACTATTCAATTGACCCAGTCCAGAATGTTCATTCAATGCGTCGATATTTTCATCGTTGCATAGGCTACAATGTTGTACTCGAGTTTACAATAATACTTATGCTGACAGATAATGGCCAATTTCCTTAATTAATATTATTACTCACTCATTTGGCACAAGCTGATATTTTTATTTGTATTATTAGTTGTACCAAATGTATTACACAGATATACTCACAAAGAACAGAAAAGATTTTATACTACATGAAATAGATGCCGCAACTTACCAGGAATAGTCAAAATATTCTTCACCGCATCTGATTCTTCAAATGACATAACCTTCTCTTTAGTGGTCAAATCAACGATTTCCAAGCAGTGCGTTCCGTTTGTTGCAATTATCACCTGCTTATCATTATTGCACGGAACACAGCACACTATATCACGGTCCCGTCCGAAGTTGTCTAGAACTTTGAGCACTTTCCCGCTAGGGTCGTATAAAATGATCATTTTGGATGTGTGCGTTATAAGAGTTTCCTCGTTGTTGGCCCAGCGGCAGTTGAGGAATGGACCTATTTTAGGTGGTATTGATACGACGTTCGCGTAGTTATTATTGAACGCTTCTTCTGACTCTGTAAAGCGTTTACGTACTTTAAAATAAAAAAGATAACAGAGAGGGAAAGAACTATATGTGAGAAACACTGACATGTATTGGATGAGATATGCAGACATTTTTAATGTAAACTTTATTTAATAGATCATATCAGTCGCTACGTACAAGAGTAAAAAATATTTTTTGAATTAGCAAATATACATTTGCGTTAAAAATTATATTAAAAAAAAAACAAGTACATCTTATACCTATTATAAGCCAGTGCTTGTCTACTATGCCACTAGATGTAGATGGTAAGTATAGACCAAAACAATATATCATTAACGAAACAAGGAAAAAAAACTTAACTTTATACTCTAGATGATAAACTGCATTGGAATTATCGCATAGCTTTACTTAACAAAAAGTGAGGCTATGCGATAGTTAGTATTCAGCGGCTTTCGTTATAAGAAAAATTAGGCAGTTAACTGACATCGATAGTGCAAGAATGGTTTACTTCAGTTATTTTAATACTCTATTGTCATATGGAATACTTTTGTGGGACAAATCATCAGATTGTATTTGTCATTCACAAAAGAGTTATACGAGCAATTTACAATTTAAACCCACGAGTCTTTGAGAGAATTATATAAAGAAATTAACATATTGACTGTATCTTCGCAATATATCTATTCGAACATTTTTTTTTTTCGTTCGTTCATAAGTGTTCATAATTTTACATGAAAAAAAAAAGTATATCATCAGATACTTTACCTTCTTCTATGATATCGTCGGTATCTTCCTGGTCGATGTCATCAATATACCATATTGTTATGTACCCAGTTGAATCAAGTGCCGCTACTATAGGAGGGTTCATGGGACACGCACCAATCCATTCAATTGCAGACCCTTTACCAGGTAACTCTTTTTCTAATCTATTGGTTGAAATGTGGAAGAACTGGAAAATGTTATGAGGATATGTCATCTTTTGTATATATATGCTTTTAATTGCCATAATATGGTATTGTCTTTTTGACAAGTTACATTACTTTCTTACAATGGCATGTGTTTAAATTGCATGATGTTTTGTACAAAAACAAGAGATTATAGCTAGGTCGTTTCCCTGTTTTATTTTTTTAAGCAGGATAAAGTACCAAAAAAAGGACCTGTGTTTCGTATGGTGCGTGCAGAAAACCAGATAGCTTTTTTACTGGGAAAATACCATCTTAGTTCTCAGGGTTGAACGAATCTCCATTTTGATTCTTAATCTAGGATAGATGTAGATGTCTATGAGCTATAGCAGCTACTTACCATCAGGTGGTTTGGGTGCTCGTTTGTCACCCAAACTCTATAAAAAAATGAAGCTTAGTGTTAGTTATGTAAAAAATATGAAATACCTTGATAACACCCGAATCAGTTCCAATGAGGACATAATCACCGAGAAAGCAGACTGCTGTAATGATTTCCTTTACGTCTATGGTGGAATGTTTTATTTCTTCCACATTTTGCTCATGCCTGAAATAAACAGTTATTTCATATATGCAAGTTCTTAAGGTTAAGACTGACTCAGAAGAATAAAAATTCTGCAAAGGGGGCGTTCAAGTATTACGTAACATAATTTGGAGGGAAGGCGGGTCTTGCAAAACGTTACGATACGTTACAGGGGTGGGAGGAGGGTTCGACAACTCGTTATGTAACAGTTTTTTTTATTTATATAAATATATGTATATATTTTATATATGTAAATATAGCCAAGCTGCAGCTATATTTATAGTATAGTTGTAGCACGAATGGTTCGGCTCGACCGGGATAGGACCACGCTCTCACAGAATACCAGCGTAAAATAGCAGCATAATGCTGCTGTGTTTTGTATGGTTAGTGTAGAGAACCGGAGACCCTTTTACTGGAAAAGAGGCATTTCATCTTAGTCCTCAAGGCTGACAAAGCATCTGCATTTTGATTCGCAAACGAAGATAGATGTAGATGTCTGTGGGTCACAGCAACCATTTACTATCAGGTGGACTGTGTGCTCGTTTGTCGTACTATTTCTATATAAAAAAAACTATGGACCTAAAATCTATATAGTCTAATATAACGTAAAATGCTTGTCTTATTTACGTATTGGCCTATCACTATTTTTTCACTTGTCCCGCACAAAATCTCACGTTGGCAACCCTTTTCGTGTATGTTTTACGCGGGAATCCTTCGACTGTATTGTACGTAATTTTTTTTTCAGTTTTTGTTAGTGTTTATGCAGAAGCACATTGTAGTAGTCAGTATTGTTAAAGTGAGTTCATACTGTAATGTCCTCAAAAGGGAGATTTGCATAATCTGCACATTGCTCCCAAAGTGGTTAATATTTGAAAAATACGTATTTTGTTCTTTTACATCATCATAAAGACAACATTTTCATTATTATAGACTTCCTCATTGTTAAAAGTTTTTTTTTTGGTGGGTCACGACCCACCTGATGTTGTATGCACACGTGCTTGTTTGTCACCATACTTTTATAAACAACGAAAATTGTTTTAATGTGATTTTTTTATAGTGTCAAATTATTTTAATTTTTTTAGTACATTGAAGTCGGCTTTTACATTTTACTAAGTTATTTGTATAGCCTTTTGAGTAGACATAGGAATATCACAATATCAATGTCTTCTAAAGCGTTATTTAAAAAAATCTATCCCCTATTTAGCCACCATTAGGGGTAGAATCTTTTATGCAAATTTGTATAGGACTACCGCAAAAGAAGTATTAACTATTTAATAAAAAAGAATCATCATAAAATGACAAAGATATTATGTAACATACAAACAAAAAAAAATATATACTTAGTCAAATTTTAAACTACCTCCTTTTCTAGGTTGGCTAAAAACATTAGATGAGAGATGTATGAAATTCAAAATCATGAACAATAAATCTTAAATTATAATTATAATCTAAATCTTAAAGAAACAGCTACGGTTATTATCAGATAGATTTGTGGCCTATTTAGGGTTAAATAAACGATACTTACAAGAACTCAAAATAAAGCTCGTTGATGGAGCTTCTCTCCTGCGCAATGGCCGAGGCTTTGGTATAAAGGATGCCTTTGGATTCATGCTGCAGTATGCTCTGCACAATGTCGGTATATGGATACCGGTAAAGGTCTGTGCCGTGCGTACTGAGATAAGCTTTGATACTGTATAAAAGCTCTTTGTCTAGTGTCTGGAATAAATGTAGGTTAAATGATAAAATTAATATTCTTAGCGTGCTGGGGTGTGGCCCTATGGCTAAAATTGATCAAGAGATTATCATAAAAAATCAAATACTGAAAATAGCAGTTGGTAGGGTATGAGCACATTCTGTAATCTCATTCATTTATTATACATTTTCTTTTTGTAATAATACAAAAAAAATATGTAAAATAAATGTGTTAAAAATAGAGTGACCGACATAGCCATTATTAAGCTGAAGTGGCAATGATGACCGCTCATCCTACCATCATTCAAGACCGTTACTATAATGTAATAAAAATACACACATTTATTTACTAATATAATTTCACTTACATCTTCCGCAATATAGGTTTCATATTTTTGCAGATCCATAATAACATCAGCTGGTCCAGTTAATCTCACTTTATTGCCCAAAAATTTCAAATCTAAAAACAATTTGTTGAATAAGCTCCATTTATTGCTCAAATTCTTCGTATTCAGTATATGGTAACCAATGTAGAAGGCAATGTAACCATCGTCTACTATATCTAAAGGAACACTATTGACATTTTCATAATGGTAGCTTTTGAGGAAATCACCATGTAGTTTTTTCAGTTCTTCCTCAGTCCAGCAAGTTCTCAAATAATCCATAATAAAAACGTGTATTTCATAAATATAATTCCTTTGCTCTCGATCATAGAATTCTATAATAAGTGATTTGCTACGTAATTGTTTTATTATGGACTCGACTTCTGCCAATTCTTTGTTCCATAATTTACTTAACACTTTGGCGGACACTTTGACGTTGTCTGGCAACACTGTAAGCATTTTGAACAGTGCTAGTATGTCCGGTTGTAAAAGATTTATGCACACTTCGACAGCTTTCTTTGGATTATCATGGTGTCTTGACAAGCTGTAAATTATTAATAACTATGTATGTATGTATGCAACAATATTTTCTTGTATGTTTCGGCAAATAATACGTAATTTTACACAATAACAATATCACGCCTGCATTGATGTAAATATTACAATATTATATTTGTAAAGGAGAAGTATCATTAAAGCTATGAAGTTACTCAAAAAAGAGAAAAAAATGCCCTGAACCAATAGAAATATTATTGCGTGAATATAAGACTAATTACTTGTGCTGAAAAATATTTTTTTTCAATAACTGCCCTATTCGCGCCATTTTGATTCAGCATAATTACTTGCCTGCGTTCAGAAATCATGTTATCAGATGTATATGTAATAATGTTAAGAAATTATGATCACAACTACATTAAATATATTAATGTCCTCCAGACCGAATTTCGGTGATGGCGGCCAGCCTCAACGAAGACTAGCCATCGGCGCAGGATAGGATTTTAGTGCCCAAGTGTATGCGCAAGCACAGGTGCACTCTCATAGTCCGATGGGACGGTAAACCGACACGACCGGAGAGAGATCAGGCGCAGGACCAACGGCTTTACGTGCTTTCCGAGGCACGGGGGTGAGACACCGCCAACTTCCTGACTCCGGGCAGCTACTGAGAATTTCTTGATGGAATAACTCAATAACTGATTTTTTTTGCCCGACCCGGGATTCGAACCCGGGACCTCATGATCAGCAGTCGCATTACTACAACCACTAGACCAACGAGGCAGTCAAATATATTACAAAGTATTAGAGTATCAGTAATAAAGTATAGTACATATATAAAGTATCAGAGTTAAATATATTACAAAGTATATAACTGAGTTATTAGCGACTACCTTATAAACTATTTAAATTAGTTACGAGCAACTGCTACGGTGTCAACATAAAAATATTTATAGTTCTTCATACTGCTTTTGTGGAAGGCGTTTTGGAATGAAACATTTGTAATATCATTTTGTTTTTACGTTGATTTAATATCATATTATCTTTAAAAAACCTATTAAATTTTAAATCTATGCTTGGATAACATTGGATGGTATTCCTTGAATCACGTTCGTAAAAAGCGATTCAAAAATTTGAAAAAAAATTTTGAAATGCTCTATATTATAAATAAATTGTTGGTTGTATTTATTTAAGGGTTAATTTTCCAGGTTCCTTAAAATTAAACATCTTTTGAGTTTAGGATTTGTAAATTTGGCGGAGGCCTATGTCAGGCAGTGAACTAGTAATGGCTTGCAAAGATGATGATGGTGATATAATACTTACAAAAAGAAATCCCTCTTTTCTAATTTATTCAAATAATAGTTCCAATACTTTTGATCATGTTTGAATCGTTCTTTGTTTTCTGTTAACTGAGCGCCAATCAGAGCTATATGGAATGGACTTCCTTTGCATATTTCGTGAAGTTTCTTTGCTTGCCTCGGTAACTGAGACACAGGTTGGTCTAGACATGAGGCGAAAAGCTCCAATGTTTCTTTTTCGGTGAAATTGTTTTCTACCTGTAATTTAAATTAATAAATATATTTGACAGAACAACGGTCTATATATCATTTGATATATTTGGTCATATATCAGCATTATTCTTCCATAGTAAGCTTATACGAGGTAGAGCCATGTTGCAGTTATATTACTGGTATAGTTTTAGCACGAACGGGTCGGCTCGACCGGGGAAGGACCACGCTTACGGCTGCTGTGTTTCGTATGGTGAGTGCAGAGAACCGGAGACCCTTTTTACTGGAAACGAGGCATTCCATATTAGACCTTACGGGTGACAACGCATCTGCATTTTGATTCTTAATTGAGGATAGATGTAGATTTCTATGGGTCACAGCAACCATGTACCATCAGGTGCATCATGTGCTCGTTTGTCACCCTAATGTCTATAAAAAATGAAGCTTAGTGTTAAAGTTATGTAAAACATGAAATACCTTGATAACACCCTAATCTTATACTATAAAATATATATCTAAGTTGACTGGAAGAGAATGCCAAAGGCATTAAGTCCTCCCATCGTAACCCTTAGATTAAGGTGTATTACAATGAAGATTAAATAAATAAATGGTAACATTCTCCTGGCTGATTTTGGCTACTAATAAAACTTCCGAATACTCTTGAAACTTATCCATAGCCATGATAAATATAAAGCAGTGCTTTCCAAATAAGGTAATATCTAAGACTAATGGTAAGCTGCTATAGGTTGCTAAGGAATAAAATAATATAGAGACATATTTAACCCAATGAGATTATATCTACGTTAATTTATCCGAATGTGTATATATAGTGGTGATCATATAATTAGAAACACATCTTATGAATATAGAAAGTATAACTTCAATGTTCACCTTTCCAAGGCATTCGACTGTGTTCACCATGAGACATTAATCAGAAGCTACAGTACTATGGTGTCAAGAACACAGCGCTTAAACTTATTATTTCATATTTAAGTAATAGAAAGCAGAAGATTATTATCAATGGTAAAAGTTCTTCCGGGTCACCTGTACGAATGGGTGTCCCTCAGGGCTCGATTCTCGGCCCATTCCTGTTTCTAGTGTATATTAATGACTTACCTTACCTTGTAGGGGATAATCATGATATAGTATTATTTGCTGATGATACTTCCTTGATTTTTGAACTTAAACGTCAATCATTTAAAGTTGACGAAGTGAATAATGCTATATCAAAATTAGTGCATTGGTTTAACGTTAATAATCTACATTTGAACGGAGATAAAACTAACTGTGTTAAATTTACAACAACTAATGTTAAAAATCTGAATACCAATGTGTTTTTAAATGGGGAGGAACTGAGCCCTGATGTATCCACTGTTTTTCTTGGCATCACTCTCGACGCAAAGATTCAGTGGGGCCCCCATGTATCCATATTAGCAAGCAGACTAAGTTCTGCAGCCTATGCTGTAAAAAAGATTAGAGGTCTCACTAGTGTCGAGAAAGCTAGATTAGTTTATTTCAGTTATTTCCATTGCATAATGTCTTATGGGATTTTGCTATGGGGAAATGCGGCTGATTCGGAAGCTATTTTTGTTTTACAGAAGAGGGCCATTAGAGCTATTTACAATCTAAAACCGAGAGAGTCTCTTAGAGATAAATTTAAAGAAATAAATATACTAACTTTGGCCTCTCAGTATATTTACGAAAATTTAATGTATGTTCACAAAAGCAAAGGTAGTTTTAGTAAAAAAAGTGATATACATTCTGTAAACACTAGGAACAAACACAAGCTAGTGGATGCCAGTTTCTCGACTCCACAGAGTCAGTAATTCATTCTTGGGGCAATGTATACGCTATTACAACAAGGTCCCGGAAAGTGTACAGGCTCTCTCTATTACCAAGTTTAAATGTTTTGTTAAGCTGAAACTGTAACAAAAGGCTTCATCATCATCATTACAGCCTTTCATAAGTCCACTGCTGAAACTAGGCTTCCCCCAAGGAATGCCACAAAGCACGGTCCTGAGCTAGCTGCATTCATCGACTTCCTGCATGTCTTACCAGGTCGTCACTCCATCTCGTGGGGGGTCGCCCTACACTTCGCCTACCGGTACGAGGCTGCCACTCGAGAACCTTTCTTCCCCATCGGTTGTCGGTTCTTCGAGCTATAAGGCCGACCCACTGCCACTTCAGCTTGCTAATCCGTTGGGCTATGTCGGTTACTCTGGTTATACTGCGGATATCCTCATTTCTAAGTTTATCACCCAGAGACACCCCGAGCATAGCCCTCTCCATAGCTCGCTGAGCGACCTTGAGCTTCCTCATACGGCCAGCAGTGAAGGACCACGTCTCAGATCCGTAACTCATCACTGGCAATACGCACTGGTTGTACAATTTCGTTTTAAGGTTTTGAGGTATGTCTGACGAGAAGATGTGTCGTAGTTTTCCGAACGCTGCCCAGCCGAGTTGAATCCGTCGATTGACCTCTCGGTCGAAGTTGGACTTACCTAGTCGGACTATTTGTCCCAGGTAAACATACTGGTCAACAACTTCGAGCTTAGTGCTCCCAACAACTACCGGCATAGGTGTGACATGGACATTAAACATGATCTTTGTTTTGTCCATGTTCATCTTAAGACCTACCCGTTGGAAGACACTATTGAGGTCATTGAGCATGGTGCTTAGTTCCTCCAGCGATTCTGCCATAAGGACTATATCGTCGGCAAATCGAAGGTGAGTGATGTACTCACCATTGATGTTAATACCGTATCCTTTCCAGTCCAGTAGCTTGAAAACGTCTTCCAATGCAGCGGTGAAGAGTTTCGGGGATATAACGTCACCCTGTCTTACACCTCTGCAGTTGGATAGGTTTCGTATTCTGGTTCTGTACTCGGATAGCCATCGTAGCCCTACTGTACAAGCACTTCAGCACTTCGATATACCGACAGTCAACTTGGCACCGCTGAAGGGACTGCAGCAACGCCCAAATTTTGACGGAATCAAAGGCTTTCTCATAGTCCACATACGCCAGACATAGTGGCAAATTGTACTCCTCGGACTTCTGTATAACTTGCCGAAGGGTCTATGGTGCTAAAGCCCTTTCGGAAACCGGCTTGTTCGAGAGGCTGGAAGTCGTCAAGTCTGCGCGCGAGACGATTAGTAATGACTCTCGAAAACAGCACGTAGACGCGGCTCAGAAGGGAAATCGGTCTGTGGTTCTTCAAGAGAGCGTTGTCACCTTTCTTGAACAATAAGACCACCGAACTTCTGCTCCACGCCGCCGGTGTAATGCCACCATGGAGGACGGAATTAAAGGGCTTCTGAAGGACTTCAAGTACCGGTTTTCCACCCGCTTTCAGAAGCTCCGCTGTAATTCTATCCTCGCCTGGGGCCTTGCTGTTTTTAAGGTACTGGAGAGCCATTCTAATCTCGCTTAGAATGACGTCCGGGATATCATCGGAATAGTGTCGGATAAGACTCGCTCTTGGATCGTTACTCACACTTGCGTGTGGCTCCAACGATGACGTGTACAGCTGCCCATAGAACCTCTCAATCTCACTCAAAATCTCAGGTGTCCTGGAAACGATGCTGCCACGCTCGGTCTTCAGCTTTGACAGTTGGCTCTTTCTGGCAGACAGATCTCTGGCAAAGACTTTGGAGCCTTGGTTCCCCTCGATCGCTTATTCAATACAAGCTGTATTGAAGTTGCGTAAGTCCCGCCATGCATTTGGAGATCTGTCTGTTCAGTTGCCTGTGTGCTGTCAAATCTGTTGAAGAATTTAGCTTCATCTCCCGTCTAACAGCCATGAGATTAAGAGTGTGATCGGAGAGTTTTTGTGTTTTTCTGCGGCGGGTCTTGCAGAACTTAGCTCCGGCCGCATGGACAGTTTCCACGAGCTTGTTATTCATATCGGCCACTTCATTGCAGTCTTCTAGGCACTGAAAACGTTTTTTATCTCGAGCTGAAAGGTTTTGGGACTTTGGAACAGAGCATGATGGGCCGGAGCGTTGACTTCATTAGAAGAGACCTCTCCAACTTAACGTTTAGGTTCAGTGTGCCTCCGACCATTCGGTGATCGCTACCAGTTTTCACCCTCGCGATCACGGAGACATCACTGAACAGTTGTTGTCTGGTCGTCATAATGAAGTCAATCTCATTTTTTGTGGAACCGTCGGGGCTCGACCAGGTGTACTTCCTGTGGGGCCGCTTCTGGAAGAAAGAGTTCATCATAAAGAGTCCCTATTTCTCCATGAAGTCGGCCAGCTGCTGGCCCCTTGGGTTCCGTTGCCCTATTCCAAATTTCCCTACTTTCAGCTCACCGTTCTCTCATGTGCCTAGTTTTGCATTGAAGTCTCCCATTAACACCGTATATTGGGTTTTGGAGGAATGCATGGCTCTAGAGATATCCTCATACATTTTCTCCACCTCCTCATCGGGGTGTGCCGAGGTTGGTGCCTAAACCTGTATGACCTTCAGCGAATACCGTTTGGTGATTCTGAGTATAAGGTACGCAACCCTCGTCGACACACTCTCAATCTTTACAACGTTGTTAACGAGAGACTTGTGGACGATAAATCCGACACCTCCTTGGGACAAATGGTCGCCCTCCCGGTGATAGAACAAGTTGCCGGATTCGAGGATTACCGTGTCCTCTCCCTCTCTTCGGACTTCGGATAATCCTATAATATGCCTCATAACTTTTCTATCTTTTCTTCCAGCTCCACGATCTTCTCGTCAGTCCTCAGGGTGCGTGCGTTGTATGTTGCCAGGTCGAGACGTTTTAGGTGGCAACCGAACCTCCACCGGAGATTCTTAGCATCCCCTGCCCCGCCGTTACCATGGTCACCACCGTAGCCAGGAATAGCGGGGCCGCCGGGGACTAGGGGACGTCTCTTTGTTACTCTCATCATAGGGGGGTATTTGCCATAGTTGCGATGCTTGGCGGGCGGGTTGGCAACCGCAGTTTTTTATTGTAACTTTGCTGTTATCAGAAAGATGCTGCTGCCCATCTCCTGCCTGTTTCACTTTGTCGCCTTTTACGACACCAACGGGAAGATATGGGGTAGTGAATATTCTTAACCGCGACTACACGGCAAAGTCATTACATGTAGGAGTTTATTTTCAGTTACTGGCCGCTTGAACGCCTAATTAGAAACGTTTTAAAAAAGCATCCATAGCTCGTTCTTTTTTTGAAATTGGAGAATAACATTTCTTTCTTGGCTTTTTCTATTATTTTGGCGGCAATTCAAAATTTAATCTGAATTTTGTTTTGTTCAAAATGGGCAAAAATAAAAGTTGAGATGCGCTAACTAGGCAAATAATTGTTAATTTACATATAGATCATAAGTGGGCGTACAGAAGAATAGCTGAGCATTTAAATTGTTCTGTTAGGAAAGTTTTTAATGCAATTGATCATTATAAAACACATGGAACTGTTGAAAATGTTCTTAGAAAGGCTCGGCTAAGAAAAACCTCTCCCAGAGAACATACGCTAATCGTTCGTGTTGCTAAAAAAGACCCAAGTAAAGGCTCCAACCAGATTAAAAATAAAGTTTTTTCGCCTGATGTACCGAGAAACATCTCGTCAAGACTAATACGCCGAAGAGTTAGTGGAAGCTAAATTGATTGGAAGAATCTCTCGAAAAATACCGCTTCTTACCAAGCAACACCGAGAGAAGCGATTATAATTCGCTAAAAAATATGTTAATTGGACGGTACGAGAAAGGAAAAAAGTGTTATTTTCAGATGAAACAAAAATAAATATGGTAAATTCCGATGGAAAGCGCTATGTTAGACGTCCTGTAAACAATGCTTTTAATGACAAATACATAAGGAGTATAGTCAAGCACGGTGGCGGTAAAGTTTGGGGATGTTTGTTGTGGATGTTGTTCGATGTGGAGTTGGACCCGTTTGAAAGATTGAAGGTACAATGGATCAATGGCAATACAAAAATATCTCATAGTACACAATTATTCCCTACTCGGACGATCATTTGCCTGTAACCTGGATCTTTCAGCATGACAATGACCCTAAACGCACGGCCAATAGCGTCAAATGTTTCCTTAGCGACCAGCATATATCCGTTTTAGACTGGCCAGCAAATAGTCCGGATTTAAACCCGATAGAAAATTTCTGGTATATTGTTAAAAAGAAAGTCTCAAACAAACGTAACACCAGTCAAAACGAACTATATGAAGCATTTGTTGAAGCATGGAATTTAATCCCCCTAGAAAAAGGTATGAAATTGATTGAAGAAATGCCACATCGTTGCAGTGCTGTTATTAAACATAAGGGATATGTCACTAAATATTAATTATAACTATTGGTAGGCTGTGGATAGTAGCTATTTCATAAATAACAATACTAATTACTAATACATACTTAAAAAATATTGATTTTTATACTTTTTTGTTGTTGTTTCTAATTAGTTGACCGTTATTGTTCATACCTTAAAACTGATTTGAATTTTTGTCCGTAATGTAATATTGAAACTGCACTTGTGTAATGGGATTTATGTTGTTATTCAAATAAATGATAAATTGTTGAACATATTGTTGTCCTATTTATTGTTTAATTTCAAAATAAAAAAGGATTGCGGTGAAGTATCTTACATAATGTCAAGGACCGTTGGTAGTGTTTCTAATTATACGACCACCACTGTATAACGTCTATGTAATAGCAAGTAACCGTGTAGTAGCGGTGTACGAATATCCACTATCCCATATCGTCCCCATCTCCACCGCAGAGAGTGACGACTCGATATAGTGGTCTGAGCCATCTAAGTACCTGATGACTAACTCGGTACTGAATTCAAATCACAGCTACAATCGTTCAAAATATAAAATGTCGCTATTCGTGCATGGTTGCGTTATTTTTATTATCCCTTGGAGTGCGCACACAATGGCAATTTCTTGTTAAGTTATACAGGTTCATTGTAATAACACGTAAACATATTTTATAAATTTTTAAGAGAAATTATTCCGTGGGTGTCGTCAGAAGCAGCAGAGGAAAATGAAACAAATGATGGGCATCAGCATCTTTTTGATAAAATTAAAATTAATAAAAAACTGTAGTTGCCAACCCGTCTGCCGAGCGTTGCAACTAGTGCAAATATTCCCTCTATGAGGCAATCTCTGGGGGAGGCCTATGTTCAGCAGTGGACTTTTTATAGGCTGTAATAGTAACGGTTTAGGCAAACTTTTAACGCTTTTCCTTTTATATAAAAGAACTAACAGTTTGCCTTGATAAAGCTTACTTTTACTTCTTATGGGCCGAATGCGAATCTATGATTCAGTGACCAAGATACTATACTATACTATATTGTATCTTAGTTTTCTGATGGCGCTACTATAGAGTACTAGCAGGGCCACATCGTCCGCGTAGCTTCAATAATTGATCAATTTACCACCAGTTGAACAACCTGATTGCTATACCAATAAACAAAAAGATAATATATACATACACATATATATATATATATATTACCTTTATCCAGAGAACTTCATAGATACTCCTCCAGGAAGTATTATTTAACAGTCTGTTTTAGGCAGAAAATAGCAAATTGCCCATCATTTAACTATAGATGTTTGTAAAGGTATACTATCCATAGGAATTACTGTTACTGTACGTACCAAAGAAAGTGAATACATACCTTAATAATCTGTGCTTGGAAATTCAAAACAACATCAGTGTCAGGCGTTGTGATCAGTATCTTGCAGCCGATATCGAAGGCCTCTAAGCATTTTTTCTCATTCACCTCATCCAACACTAGCAAGCACTCTTTCAACGTCTGTTCCAGGAATTGAGATTTGAGCCGGTCCCTCATGTCCTGCCACGACCAGTCGTAGAAGGAATGGCTGTCGGCATTCGAGCCAATGCTTGACATCGAAATAGAAGAGTTCATGTAAGAGTTTTGTGAATAGATTGAAGATGCTTTCCGGTATAATCTGTAAGGAATTTATATATTATTTAAACTATTTTTGTAGTCTGTTTTTTTTTTTACATTTTTTCGGTATTAGAATACCAGAGCTAGCCTGAAAGTCATTTTACAGATTTCTAGGACTAGAAAAAGTACAGGTTTGTAGTTATAGAATATTCACCCCTATCGTTGGGAGCTGTAGATTGATTGAATATATTTTGATTTTCCTTGCTAACTTTGACAGGCAAATAAAGGGGATGAATACAAAGTTGAAAACTTATTCTTCCGAACAATCTGTGATCTGTGTAGCTTTGAGCGGCCGTGTGTTGTCTGATCAGTTGACAGATTGTTATGCAGGGTAAGTATATTTTATTTTCAGTCGTAATCTAGTGCCATCATCAGTAGCTTACTCTATTTATCTACATGATAGGCATAATATGGCGGCTTCTTATGTTTTGCCAGCCAGAACAGAGTTTTTGTGAAGAGGTGAGTTCAGGAACTCCCAGGTCTCATTGATAGCCAGACTTTATGAAGGCATGCCACGGTGCTTGTATGTTTCGGTAAGTTGTAATTAATTAAATAAGTGTAACTACAAGGCGATGTTTGCTTAATTAAACTTTTTTTATTAAGTTTATTTAATTAAAAAAAAAAACGTTATTGTGGAGGAGATTTACATACATAAATTGCACAAGGACAAACATTTAGATGTCCATTTTATTCTTTGGTTAAGTGTGGTACCTACTTAAGCAAATTTTTGCCAGAGAAATATTTGTCAATATAACAAACTGAAGCTTATTGGTAAAGAAAACCGTATAGAAATACGGTAAAGAGTAACTTGAATGTTCCTTATGAGTTCTACTACGACATCATGTGTCCTCTGAATAACTTAAAAATCTTTTTGAAATGTCATCGGCTTTTCTTAAATAAGCCTGGCCATGTAATAGCTGCACTAGTGTTTTGTGGATTTGCTTCGCAGTCCACCCTAAAACCCACACCAAACATGATAGAAAACCTCTGAACTACCTAATAATAATTCAGTCAAAATTAAAGTAAAATTAATACAGTGGTGTTTTTTTTAGTAATTAATAACAATTTAATCATAATAATAATTTACTTCAAATTAAATTAAAACTCAGAACAATACATATAGATTTATGTAAATATTAGTTATAACAAAATAATTAATAAGACCGCAGATAAAACTTGGTGTTATTTTCCTAATTTAGTTGATTAAAGAATAACTTACTTGTTTTGCATTGCGGTGATATCATCTTCAGTTTTACAATTGCCAAAGTTGAGCCAGAACACCACTCCATTGAAGTTGTTCGTTATAAGGTCAGGATTGGTCCTAAGCACACTGATCGCCACCGTCGTCTTACCGCAACCAGGCATGCCATGCAAGGCTAATATTTTATGACGATTTAGCACCTTTAATTTCACAGCGACTTCTTGCTCCTGAAATTGAAAAACAAATTATAATATTCATGAGAATGACAAAGTGAAGAATGGTCAAACGCAGAAAAGAGAGTTTGAGCAATAGTCATTAAGTGTAAGTAATATTAAGGAAAAATAATCATCAACAATATGTATATTTTAGTCGCCCTAGTTAATTTTTATAGTGTCATGTACATATAAGTTTGATATTCCACTGTAGCTATGTTACGAAATAGAAAGTTTGGGGGTCCCTTAAACGAATGAAGAGTTATGACCAGCATAAAATATCAATCACATGAGTTGTTTAAATGGTTACTGAATTGTATGTCAGTTATATTTCAGATCGAGATATTTTAGGGCTTTTGATCAATTTTTGAGCTGAAACTTAATTAAGATAAGAAAATATTTCAAATATATTTAACTTATGTAATACTAAAATTCAAATCGGAACAATTATTTGTAGGCCATACAAATACTTGTTCCATGCAGGCTTTGAACCCGCGGCCCTCAGTAACTAACCGTAACTAATTGCCGAGTCACTGCGCAACGGTGACTATAATCGTCTGAAAAGGATTACATGAAGATAATCATATCACGATACTTAAAACACTTCACGGCTTTGACAGGATTTTGTTTACATATTGTATATGTGAACAGGGGATGTAAAACATTACATATCAAGATGACATATGAACACTATAGTATTTTTACGATGCCACAACAATGCGCGACATACTCTATGTAAATTCAAGGAATAAACTAAAAAAGACATCATACCACAGCAACTCTTCTCACGTAATGATCGGGCAGTCTTGGCACGTCTCCTCTACTGAGTCCGTCCTCGAAACTATCGTTCAGCATCGCCTCGTTGGTCTCGTCCGTGAATTTCTTGTACAGCCACTGCCAGTCCTTAGCCAGACTATCTACGAACACCTCGTAACTGTTGTTCGTACCATTTTGCAAGAGTGTGTCGATTAGGTACCGGGTCCGATCGGCACGGCTAGTCTAGAATAAGATGTATAATTATATAAACATGTAAGAATAGATTTTCTCTAATTATATTTATTCGAGGCGTATGTTTTTAATACGCTTTTATTAGCTTCGCGTGTACCTATTTATCTATCTATGTAACGGAATCTGATCAGTAAATTTCATCAATTTGTTGATGGCTGATTGGCTTGAAAATTTGCATTTATCAAGGACCGTTGAGAATACATTATTTAATAACTTTGTCCCATAATCCTGATCAGGATCACTATAGGATAAAAGAAAGTATTTATCAGGATCATCACAGCTCATGATTTTTTTTACAGGATAGGGGGACAAACGACCACACAGTCCACCTGATGTTAAGTGGTTGCTGTGGCCCATAGACATCTACATCTATTATCGATGACGAATCAAACTGTAGACTATGCGTTGTCACCCGTGAGGACTAAGATAGAATGCCTTGATTCCAGTTAATAGCGTTTCCGGTTCTCTACACTCACCATACAAAACACAGCAGCGTTAAGCTGCTATTTTACGCTGATTTTCTGTGAGAGCGTGGTCCTTCCCCGGTCGAGCCGACTGATTTGTGCTACAGCTATACTACTAATATAGCTGCAGCATGTCTCTACCACGTTTTTTTTATATAGAATCGGGTGACAAACGAGCACACAGTCCACCTGATGGTAAGTGGTTACTGTGACCCATAGAGACATCTACATCTATCCTCAATAAAGACTCAAGATGCAGATGCGTTGTCACCCGTGAGGACTAAGATGGAATGCCTCTTTGCCAGTAAAAAGGGTCTCCGGTTCTCTACACTCACCATACGAAACACAGCAGCGTTAAGCTGCTATTTTACGCTGGTTTTCTGTGAGAGCGTGGTCCTTCCCCGTTCGAGCCGACCCATTCGTGCTACAACCATAATATAGCTGCAGCATGGCTCTACCACGTAGAGCATGGCTCTACCACGTAAAATTGTTCAAGATCAATGCGCGTTGTTTAAGTTCTTATAATTTATTATGTGTTCTTGGAAACTCCTGATCCGAGTGAAATGATTGTTTTTATTAAATAGGTTATACTTGAAGGATGGTCTCATATAAATTAAAAAAATTCTATCCTTAAGGGTGGTAAAAAGGGAATAAAGATTTTAATGTAACATTTTAGACGACATTCTAGTTATAACCTTGTAGAAGTCTGTTTGTAATTTCTATTAAAAGTTTAATTTGCATATTTTAACATTTTAAAGCTAATGTGAAAACACGAACTTAGCACTATTTTACTTATAATGTACACTAGAAAATAATAATTTTCATTCAATATAGATAACAAGTAATACTTATTGAAATTCGGTTTCTGTTAGGTTAGAAAAAAGCCTCTAGAGAAGAACCAGCAAGAAAACTTTGCGGCTTTGTTTAATAATAATTTGCAATGTTGTTCAATTTAATATAAAAACATTTAGAAACAGTATTTTAGTTCCCAGGGGTTATTATCAATCATTATAATAACCCTTTTTATTCTGCTTTTGTTCAGGTAAAATTTTTAACTTTTTGAAAGATAGACCTTGTACATTTTTGGGACTTTGTTACGTAAACATTGTCCCATTAAAGGAATTACTAATTCTTTAAAGTTCAGTAAAAGGTATAAAGCCGCGTATCCACCAAAAATGTTGACAACAGTTATGTTTCCAACAAGCGTCTCCATCGAGGGAACAAATGTTGGCAACAAGCATATTCCTTTGATGTTGCTGCCGAAAATGGAAACAAGTTTTGTTGGCAACTGTTGTGTTGGCAACACATGGTTGGTTTTACATTAGTTTAGGAGTATATTATCAGCTCCTTCCAAACTTTTGTAATATTTTGAAGTCTTATGTGCATCCAGTGACGGATTATCCCTAAGTACTGGACCGCTAGCCATCGAGATGATGAGGATGGACTTTCGAGTTTTGTCGCAGTTTAAGATGGTGGAATACAGCAGCTGGTATTAATTCAACAATTCCTCTGAGCACTCCCCGTAGTAAATGCGGTAGAAGATGCATAGAAATGCAACGTCTCATTGCAAGGCCAGTGAATCAAGTCGATAGAAGAGAACTTGATCGTTGACGATTCAGGCTGCTCTCCGTTGAATACGGTCAAGTTGAAGGAGCTGATACTGGGATGCCCCGGCTCAGAGATGAGAATAGTATTCCATATGAGACCGAACTTGCGCGTTGTAAAGTTGCAAGCGGTGGGCCGGCATGAAATACCATCTCGATCTACTGAGCACACCAAGCTTTTTTGATGCCAGTTTAGCCTTCCCTTCCAAGTAACTGCGGAACTGTACGTCTCTCGAAATGTCCACGCCAAGGAACCTGGCTGCTGGTTCTGGCTGAGGCAACGAGGGGGAGTGCCCTGAAATTGAGGAGATACGACAAAGGGGTTGTGTTTACATCCCGGGACGCCAATGCGTCGGCTTTGGTCTTTTAGTACCTACTCCTGTCTTAGTCGCGATGCAATTTTGTAGGAGCGACCAAACCAAGGCTGGGGCCTGTCGTCGAATAGCACTACAGATGATGGGATGAAAACTTCCATCCCCTGAAGGACCACATCGACGATAGACTCAGCAACGATGTTGGGATCATCCATCGAGAAGGAAATCTGCCCCCAGGGGTAGGATGCAAAAACGCCCGCACCGCATCCCATCCCAATCCGCTGACCTATAGAGCCACACTCGGCGGCAGCCTACATCGCGCCTGCAATGAGAATGTGATGGGCACCGTACTCCGGATCAGGCAGTGATCCGAAGAGCCGAGAGGGGCATCGACGGAGACCTGATATCCGTACGGATAAGAGGCCAGCAGAACGTTCAACAGGGAAGGTGCATGATCTTCCACATCTGGAATCCGCATGGGCGAAGTGACTAGTTGTGTCAGACCATATGCCAAGGCAAAGTTGTTAACAGATCTCCCTGCATTATCGGTAGCACGAGAACCAAGCCATTAGGCGTGGTGAGCGTTGACATCGTCAAGGAACACGATCTCTGCGGATGGGATCTGTTCTAGCATTAGAATCTGTAGCCATTTGGACGTGGTCGATAAGTAGGTCTGTCTTGGCATTACCGCTGTGAGATCTATAAAAGCAACCATAAACGCGGGGGTGGTCGTTGCCATAGTCTATGCAAAGTCATAGGATGACCAGGTATCCATGATCCAGGGGTAGATTTTTATTTAACACAGCTGTCATGTTTTGGGGGTGGGGCGGGCTACTTAACTATATTTTAAGATAGTTTATTTGCAATATACGAAGTTATGATTTATCATATATATAGCCGCCAGAGGGGCGCCGCAGTGGTGTAGATGTTAGCCTTGGGCGCTGTCGACATTTAATCCGGCTCTCTCTATTTCTATTAGAATTCTTCTATTATCTCTATATATAAAAATCAATTGCTATCTGTTAGTCTCGTAAAAACTCGAAACCGACCGATTTTGATGAAATTTTGTGTTTAAGTGGATTCCTGAATGGTTTAGATTCACAATTGGACCCGAAAGGTAGCTCTTTTATTGAAATCCAGAAATCATCGGATCACTAGTCTATACATATAAATAAAATTGAAGTTTCTGTTTGTAATTAAATTATATACGTACTAATAACAAAAAAAAAACAATTTTAAATATTTTTGTCTGTCTGTCTGTTTGTTTCGGCTAACCTCCGAAACGGCTGGATCGATTTTGACGGGGCTTTCACTGGCAAATAGCAGATATTATAAGGAGTAACTTAGGATACTTTTATTTTAGATAAATAATTGGGGTTCCGCGCAAAAAAAAAACATGAAATCGTAGTAAATTCCACGAGGGCGAAGTCGCGAGGGACAGCTAGTTTACGATAAAAACAAAACAGTTGATAAACTGTTTTTACAATCGATGATTAATTATCTTAACAAATACAATATTTTATCAGAATTTCAATATGGCTTCGTAAAGGAATATTAACTCAAAACACAATTCTAGATTTGATCTCTATTATAGCTGAGGAAGTCGATAAAGGATTCAAATGCCTTACGGTCTTTCTAGACCTTAAAAAGGCCTTTGACACCGTTTCTATCTCCATTATTATTGACAGGTTACTTACATGTCCATACTTATTGAGAGCATTGGCGTCAGGGGGATTGTGCTCTCTCTATTTAGTAGTTACCTTCGTGACAGAACCCAAGCCGTAAAAGTAGATAGCTTCATTAGTGACGAAAATACCGTTAAAATTGGTGTTCTACAGGGGAGTGTCCTTGGCCCGAATCTCTTTTTAATTTATATCAATGAATTGTGTAACTTATAGGACGTCGGGGGTAGGATTTTCTCTTTATGCGGATGATACCGCTATTGTATTCACTGGCAAGACTTGGGATTCCGTACACCATCTGGCTGCCAAGGGCTTAAGCTCGTGTGTTGAAATGGCTGAGGGATAATCTTTTAACTTTAAATATCCAAAAAACGAACTACATCTGTTTTGCTCGCTATACATCGTCGCAACCAGGACATAATTTATGTATCAAAATCCAAAGCTGCCCAAATCTTGAAAATACTTCGTGTGAGTGTCTGCTTATAAATAAGGTGAACGTAACTAAATACCTCGGCATCATCGTTGATCAAAGGCTTAGTTGGCACTCGCAGTTGGAAGCTGTTATAAATCGAATAAGAAAGTTAATCTGGTTATTTAAATCATTAAGGTCAGCAATGTCTAGCACTCTATTAAATAAAATTTACATAGCTTTAACACAATCGATAATTTCCTATTGCATCCCAATCTGGGGAGGAGCCACAAAGACCAACTTTTTAGATCTAGAAAGAGCACAGAGATTTCTTATAAAGGTCATGTATTTCAAACCTTATAGATTCTCTACTAACACCCTATATCAGATTAGTAAAATTCTCTCAGTTAGAAAGCTTTATGTTCTTAACCTCATTCTAAAATGTCATAAATCTCTAGGTAAGAACTCATATTGTGGCGCCTATACCTCTTGTACGTACTGTCTTTGTTATTAGACAGTACCCATGTCAGTCTGCTTTTATATACAATAAATAAAATACTTAAAATATATCCTATGCAATTAAATATATGCAAAAAAACTTTAATGCATTGGTTGTTTACAGTGACTTGTGACGAGGTTGAAAATATTTTAAATAGAATTGTCTGAAATCTATCTCACCAACATCTTATACATTTACAGGTAACAGTCTAACAGTATACTGTCTTTCGTATTTGATCAGTAAAATTTTATTTTGCAAGGCAACTAGAGTCTTCTTACTTATACTCTCTTCATTCACCACCACATACACACACACCCGCACATCATACATACAACAACACTCCTACACTCACATTTACACACTCCTTAATATACACATACTAATTACAAATTTTCTAGAGGCTAAACTTTTTGTAATCTTACTTTTTTTCTAATCCGTAAGGGAAGTAGAGGGTCATTCCCAACACGATTATCCTCTGATTACTCAATGGGAAGTCTCAGTATTATGTTGTTAACGAGATTACCGAAATAAACGTATTATTTATTATTATTTAATCGTTGCTTTTCAAGTTATAACTAAGTTACTTGCGTATAGAAGTTCTTTATAGGATTCTTGAGTACCCTGCTTACGTGTGCAAGTTGTTTGATTTAAACATATACGTCCTTTGACATTATATATCTGCACTGCCTTTTACAAACAATAAAAGCAATTAAGTTAGCATTATTATTTTTCTGATTACCTTATAGTGCAGTTCTTTTGATAAGATATTTTTGTAGGACAGGATGTTTGGACATTGGTTATCGGCTTGCATACGCACACACACTCTTAAATGTAAGGTTACAATTACGCGCACAATATTCCGAGAATAGTTTATTTTTAATTGATTGACTTCCTATTAGGAAGTAACAACTTTGCATTGCAACAGCAATGGCCCCGATTTCCCAAAGTGAGATTCTACTGTTTTAAAAGGATGTTCTGATTTAGTTTTCGTTACAACCATTTCTGTGATTAAAAAGATCCAAATCACAATTAGCCACCAGATGGGAAGTTGATATTAATTTTGCAGTTGACATTATTTGTTTAGAATCGCACCCAGCTACATTTTTTGGCCCTACGAGCTCAATAAGTTTATATTATATATAGATAATTAATTATATTGTAGTGGAATCAATCAATTGTACCTATCATCCGAAAATATTTAACGTTTACGTTAACATGATATTAAAGACAGCAAAACCGGAAAAGATGGGAAAGTTTAGAATTCTATCTCCAGTTCAGATTCGTAACCGTACTAAACGTATCTAATGTTCAAGCTATAAATATCTATCTTAAAGAACTTTCGTTTTACGGTACAATGAAATCAATTATTCTACGAAATTGTAACTTTGAAATTGTTATAACTAGTGAAAATCTATTAAATTTTCTTTGATTTGAATCGACGTATATAAAAGAAAATAATATTACTTATTCAAATAAAACTTGCGTTTCCCAGAAATCACGGCAAAACAGCGATTTATAGTAGTGTCATCCAGCAATTTGATTTTGTTTGTAGTACATAATTATATGGCCCAAGCTTGCACAGAATATCAGCGTAAAATAGCAGCATAATACGGAAACACTTTTATACTTCTAATGACGCAATTTCATCTTAGTCCGTCCTCAATGTATATGAATTTTGATTCTTAATCAAGGGTGACCACTTGATGATTAGTGGGCTAGAGCATTCACTAATCATCAACTGGACTCACACTGCAATTTCTTATGTAATTCCGTCATCTATCGGAGGATATAAGATCTTCACGGGAATTTTGTAAGTTAACTCTTGCAACATCTACCGGATGAGATGGTGGTGTGGCGATGGAGACTTATGCCGTCACCACACGGCGAATTTTATCCTTCATTGTTTGATTATTTTTAATCGCGCTGTGGTTGAGACGATTACTGTACCATCCTTCCGATATCCTAACATTTTCCTGACATTTATTTAGTCTCTTATTACACTTTATACGTCTCTTATTACCCCATAATATTTTTTTTTGTAGAAATAGAGTGACAAACGAGCACACAGTCCACCTGATGGTAAGTGGTTGCTGAGGCCCATAGACATCTACATCTATCCTCGTTAGCGAATCAAAATGCAGATGCGTTGTCAGCCTTGAGGACTAAGATGGAATGCCTCTTTTCCAGTAAAAATGGTCTCCGGTTCTCTACACTCACCATACGAAACAGCAGCATTAGGCTGTTATTTTACGCTGGTATTCTGTGAGAGCGTGGTCCTTCCCCGGTCGAGCCGACCCATTCGTGCTACAACTGTACTATAAATATATCTGCAGCTTGGCTCTACCACGTGGAAAATATATACATATTAACTAAAATGACATGGGCAATAATTGTTAGTGGCCGTTAACAGTAGACTTTTACAAATAACTGCTACAAGGGTTTATTACGAAAAAAATTACAACATACGGGCAAACAAACATCCACACTGCTGAGCACAAGCTTTTCTCATAATCAATTTTTTTATTACGTCGTAATGCCATGCTACAGCTATAGTATTATGGTTGTAACACGAAAAGGCCAGCTCGACCGGGTAAGAAACACGTTCTCACGAGAAACCAGCGTAAAGCTGCAAGCAGCTTAATTCTGTTGTGTTTCGAATGGTGAGAGTTGGAAACCGGAGACCCTTTTTACTGGAAACAAAGCATTCCATTCTAGGGGTGACAATGCATCTGCATTTTGACTCTAAATCGAGAATGAATATAGATGTCTGTGGGTCACAGGATTCACTTACCATCAGTTTGACTGTGTGCTAGTTTGTCACTTTTATTCTATAAAAATAACGAAAATGTATTGGTAGTTAGTTCGTAGCGCTGCTTCGGTTCCTATTGACAGACTTGATATTATATTTTCTAAATATTTTAATTTGCAGACAAACTGGTTCCCTGACGACATTCTACACCTGACCGATATTCATTTATTTCTTCATCTTAACTGCATCGTTAGTCTAGAGGTCGTAAGCGCGGCTGTTGATTATGTGGTTCTGAGTTAGGATTCCGGGTTGGGCCAAAATCGGGTTTTCTGTCAAGAGATTCCCAGTAGCAGCCCGGAGTCAGAAAGTTGGCGGTGTATCAACGCTGCACCTCGAGAAGTACGTAAAGTCGTTGGTCCTGTACCTAAACTTCCTCCGGTGTTGTACTGATTGCCGTCTCATCCGACTATGAGAGTGAGGGAATAGAGAGTGCAATGAGTGACCTGAGCAGATTACTCTAGTCTCTGTTGAGGTTGGCTGTCGTGATTGAAATTCGGTCTGGTGGACATTATTCCTTTGCCAGAGCCAGTGCTTAATCAGAATATAATATTGCATTTAACAATTTTAGTGAGCATTTAGCTCCTTAGTTATCTCGGCACGGTACCCTAAGTAGGTCAAAGCATTCATACGTATGGTAAAGCAAAGATAATTCATGTGCTAATGATTCAATTGCGAACAGCACTTAATGACTAATCGAACACTCACCAACTTGTAGATGTTATCGAAATCCTCGTTGGATATCGCGTTCTTGGTGAACAGCTCGTCGAGGATGTACGTCACGTCTAGATCCCTGACCACGTCCTGCTGGTGGTGTTGCAACAGAACTCTGTTCTTATTATCCATGCCGCCTGCCTTTGTTTCATCTGTTTACATACAATATATTTTATTATTATTATTATCTATTTATTACTGTAATAACCGAGATATGGCGGAGTAAGCGAATCCATGACCCTATTTCATTCCGTCACCGTAAGAGGCGACGATGGGAATTGCCAACAAAATCCAATGACCTCGGACAGAAAGCGCTATAGCCATCATGTGTACACCAGGTAGACCGGACAAAAGTGCGAGATGTTTGGTAATGCGATCGCCAAATTACCTGTCAAGCATGGTCATGAAGGCTTTCATACAACGGACGAAGTCAATAGTGGACTTTAAAGCTAGTGAAATAGTTAAAAAACACTTAAAATTTTGTCATAGCAACGAACTCTAAATAGTGTTTAGATTCGTTGTGTCATGGTATGATCTTATAAGGAATAAATATGATAATAAGACCCCCTGTTTCAGATCTATGAAATCCTTTTAAATATTGGATTGGTAATTGCATTACTAATTGTCTTACACTGTAGACGATGAGTACCTAGGTACCTATTTTAGCTTTTTTGGTATGATATCAAGTAAACAATAATATTGGATACCCATTAAGAATGATTAATGAACTGGTAAAAAGTTTCAATGAAGATTTACCCAAATAGGTCGTCATGTTTGCCATGATTGTCTGATGAAATTTAACAATTTACAATTCCTACCTAGATGTGACACACCTTACCATAAAGGAAATAAGGTAAGCTATGTAATGTTACGAAATTTGTACTGTACATACTTATACAGAGTAATTTTGAGTTTCCGTCCCATTATTAAATTTGAAATGGCAATGGAGCGCTCCTTTTCGTGGATAAAGTGTATAGGCTACGAATAGAAGCGATCTGCACTGACTTGAACTTAAAATTCTAGACATACCGAATACTTAAAGAAGTATAATATGCTAGTTGATTACTACCATACTATTATGTGTTAGTTTGTAAACATGTTAGTGAATTGTTACTCCATCACGCATTAACGCTAAACGGAATGGTATGAAATTAGGCACACAGAACATGCTCGGGATTAATTTGAACATTTATTACTGAGGAAAAAATTCCCGCGGGAAAATAGACATGACGGTTTTTCTGTTTTCACGTAGGCGGGCAGAAACTACTTAAAAAATAATGTTGTTCATATACAATACGCGTTTTGTTTAGTATCGCTTAACAATTAGGAAAGAGGAATACATACTATTTCACAACAATATCTACCTTTAAGATGAAATGAATCTTTTTATTACAACGTATTTAATTCAGTCGATTTCGAGTCCATAAAATAAACACACGAATTCTCGAATTTAGCACGAAATATTCAACATTTAAAGTTCTAATTAAGTTACACCAAAGAAAATATGTACTTAAATCACACGCGTCCAAATCAATGAAGTGTAAAATACTAATGAACATTTGAAGAATAACATAGGTTGAGATTTGAGTACGACCTTGTCGATTGGTGCCACCTACATGACAAGAAGATACGCAAACAACCAAAATACGAGAACAATTTACTATGCCAATGACCGCTCTATGATTGCCAAGGTCGCGATGAATTTGATTTACGAAATATTATACTTATTTATTAAATTGGCCATTTATATAAACGAGTAAATACGTACGGATCATAGCGTCGTGGAGCACTTTTGTCGCTTGTACTTGTACTACGACATCCACCCTAGGGTGGATATACTCGGAAAAGCGTGTTCATCTATACACCCTAGACGGGGTGGATAATCGGAATTCGTATATATATTATTTTTTCTCCTGATTTTCACCCTCGGCTGTGGTACAGTCATTTATAGAAACATGATAAAAACTGGTACAAGATACGTACAAGTACGTAGTAGAATAGAATAGAATATTTTTTTTATTCAATATTGATTATTACATAATACTTATCGAAAGTCATTTTTTATTGACCACTGGTTCGGAAAATACCTCTGTCCTGGGAAGAACAAGCAAGAAACCCAGCGGGATTTTTTCAAACATATTTCACTTAAGAATAATTTCGTTTATACAATTTTTAAATGACTATTCATAGAACCAGCATGGTGGCGATCACCTTATTCCCATGAGTTATTTTCAGTATTCCTTGATATTATAATAACTCTTTTTGTACAGTTTTTCTTTAATAAAACTTTTAAACTTGTTTATTGACAAACTTTGAATATGTTCTGGGATTTTGTTGTAAAAGCGTATACAATGCCCCATAAATGAATTACTGATTCTGTGGAGTCTAATAACTGACATTACAAACTTATGTTTGTTCCTAGTGTTTAAAGTATGCACATCCTTATTCTTATTAAAGCTATTTCTGTTTTTTATGTACATACATTACATTTTCATAAATATATTGCGATGCCAAAGTTAATATGTTTATTTCTTTAAATTTTTGTCTGAGGGACTCTTTACAAATTAGGTTATAAATCGCCCGAACGAACGGCTCTCTTTTGCAAAACAAATATAGCTTCAATATCAGTCGCATTACCCCATAGCAAAATTCCATAAGACATTACGCTATGAAAGTAACTAAAACACACTAATCTAACTGTCTCAACTTCTGTGAGACTTCTAATCTTTCTTACAGCATATGCCGCAGAACTAAGTCTGCTTGCTAATTTAGATATGTGGGGGCCCCATTGAAGTATCGCGTCAATAGTAATACCGAGAACAGTGGTATCCACAAGACTCAACTCCTCCCCAATTAACAGCACATTGGTATTAGAATGTTTTACCTTAGGTACTGTAAATTGAATACACTATGTCTTATTGCCGTTTAAGAGCATATTGTTGGCGTTAAACCAATGTACTAATTTCCATAGAGCATTATGTACATCATCATAATTAATTGACTGCCGTTTGAGTTTGAAAATTAAAGAGGTATCGTCAGCAAATAATACTATATCGTGATTGTCTCCTACAAGATAAGGTAAGTCATTAATATAGATTAAGAACAGGAATGGGCCAAGAATCGAGCCCTGAGGAACGCCCATTGATACTACCGACTGATAGACATTAGCATACCTATAAAATATATGCATACTTCTTGTTTGAAAGGTCCTCACAGGATTACCGATTCAATTTAAAATGAAGTTAAAAGTAAAACAAACGTCCAAAATTAACGTTTTTGAGATGCTTGCAAAAAAAAAAACGCATCTGTTAGCAAAGAAATTTAGAAAATAATTGTAAATGTGCATTAAAAAAGACGAATTTATCTAGGATATCAAGTTACGTCTACTTAATAATGAAATTAGTGTTGGTAGTTTCCTGGACATATTGCAGGATTAATAAATTACGTAATAATATTATTTAAAACGATGAAGTTTAATTTGATTTAAATACAATACGTAATGCATGGACTTTAATAGGCTATAACTGTTATGATAATGGCAATACGTAATATGATTTTTATTTAAGGTGGATAAACGGAATAACCTATAAAACAAAATATCATGGACATCTGTGACAGTTAAGTTTATTAATTTGGATTATGCTTATTATTCGATTGTTTAAACTTGCAAACATTGAAAAAACAAACAAGCAAATAACAAAAATTAACCAATATAAGAAAAAAAGTACAGTAAAAAAACATTTATTTACTTAAAATTTTATTCATAAATGTTTAGGAAAGGCTATAACGTGGGCTATAATCCGTACAAACTTATTAGTGTTGCCTCCTCTAGCTCTCACTGCTTCCAGTCTCCCTGGCATGGGTACTCCTAATCAAGTTATAAATAAAACCTTGAGAGATTGCATTCCATTTTTTCTGTAATGCGTTTCGATGATACGTTAAGATCTCTCAAATTAGCGGGGGCAAGATTTCTTTTCTTAATTTGTCTTCCAAGCTAATCCTATACATGTTCTATGGGGTTTAAGTCGGGTGAACAAGCTGCTAACCCAATAGCATTGATTTCAACGTCTCAAAGGTATTTGACAACTACGGCCGCAGTATGTGGGCGTGCATTATTATAATGCATAAAAACAAATTATCTTCTATTAAAGGGGCAAATGGCACTACAATTTCTTTCAAAATTTCAGTTACATATTGTGCTGGTGTTTGTGAATGAAATATTCTCAATGACGCGGAGTTCCATATAAAAATAAATACAATAAAAAATTTCAACTTTTAGGAATATCTATGGTTTAGTTTATTCATTTTTAATCTAATTAATATAAAATATAACTAATAATAGGTACAGAAAGAAACATAAATTAACATTCCCAGCTATGAAATCTGTCAAATATTACAGTCTCATACCAAAGTAGCGCCGCTCTAATGGCAGAAAAAGTCGTGGATTAAAGTAACAACCCTAGTTGACGCATCTGGCCATTGCCAACTTGAGTGTTTTAGATCTGGCATTCTCCATTCTTAGTTTATTTACAGCTGGTATTCAAGGTAAAAATTTAAACAAAATCTAAAGTAAATCTCAAATTATAGTTGGCAAAATTTTACGCAGTATGAAAGAATGCAATATTAACAATAATTACCTACATAAAAAATAATGATATTCAAAAAAAAACCATTCCAAAACTTTCTTTTTTTGATAGCATAATATATACTTATGTTTGTGGCCAGTACGCATGATAATTACAACGGGAGAAATTAAAACAAATGTTTTGCGTTCCTCTTAATTTGGTCATGAGTAGGGTTGCCATCTCCTAAAATGAAAAAGCCGGACTCGGCGTTCCAAAAAGCTGGACTTTTGGCCCTATAAGCTGGACAGTAATTTTTAGAAAGCCAAACACACCTTTTTGAGGCCATGCAGCCAAAAAACTCACCAACTCCAACCCCCCGAGAAAAGAAACTAAAATACTCCCTTACATACGTTAATTGTTTATTAATCAATCACAGCACAGTTTCAAGTGTATACGTTACTTATTTATTAATCAATCACAGCACAGATTGAAATAAATTTAAACCACTTATTACCTACTTACAATAACAATCAACAAAAGCAGTCTTCTGTTTCTAGACTTTATAAA